TATATATATTTGTCTCACACTATTCAATTTATTCTATTGACTTCAGATGTCAATGTCAAAATTCTGGAAGTTATTTTAACCAAGAAACAGTAGTGGGCACCGTGCATAAACAACTCATCTAACTTTTTTAAACAATAGTGATTATAAAATAAAGGAAAAAAATTATATATCATTCCAACGATATGACAACTATAGTATAATGTTACATATATCTTTAGCAAATATTCAGATTTTAATTTGCATTTCCAAATTATTATTCTCAAATTATTATTTATTTTTTAATAAATTTCAATATGCTAATGATTTTCATGTTACATTAGTATAAATTCCACAATCAGCACAGGAAAACAAAATCTGCGCCTTAAATTAGAAGAGAAATTTCTTTTCCACATTCAAAACATCTACATTGGCGATGTTTGGCGACGGGTACATTAACCCTAGACTAATTTAATTATAGCTATTATTACAGAAATTAGCAGATACTCAGGTTATTGTACACAAGAATTTCACTTTACTTGCACATTATAAACATCAGAGAAGATATAAACTCTAAATGAAGGCGTAATTAACATTATACTTACTAAGCAAAGTTCAGCGCCTGGACCAGGTTTCCAATTGTCTCTTCGGCAATTATTTACCCATATTTTTCTTCTTTCTTCATTTTTTTAGGAAATTTTACCAATGTATGACCTTTCCGTGAATGATTTGAACAATTAATAGCTGCACATACGCCCATTTTACACAAAAAAGGACAAAAAAGTCCATAACTACACAGCCGCCATTAAAACTCCCACTTGGGATCCCGAATGCCTGATGATTCAGCCTGGTATAGGGGAGCCTTAGGTGGGAGCAAGGCTCCTATAACTCAGAATGCTGTACTTTGTTCTTCCATATATGTTATGAAATATTTCACACATTTAAAAGAAAGAGTCTTCAGAGTCTTGCACAATTATTTCCATATACCTCAGACTTAAATGACAACATATTCTTAAGTTATTTTTTTAGTATGAATTTACAGTGTTTTTATTGAAATTTTTGTTAAAATGTCATTAAGATAAATTTATTTGCACACTCTACGCTTTAACTATTTCCCCATTTGACACTATTGAAAGTTTTTATTCATATCTTATTTATTTTAGTCTGCTAACTAAACTGAAACATCTAAAGCATAAGTTATTTTGAATATGTTTTACAAAATATACGCGAAATTTTTATTTAAGTGAAAACGTCTATATACTATTCGAGAATTAATAAATTATCCGAAAAGTTTATATGCGCTGAATGCCGCGCGTCTATAAAATCAATCTTTAAAAAAACAGCAGACATTCAGCCAGTGTGTGCGATAAACGGGCCAAAATTGGCAGCGCGTTCCCTTACTCGCCAAGCGAGAAAAGTTGGTGATTCAGCCTGGTTTAGAGGTGGGAGTACAAGGACTTAGTGTGAAACTACTAAGAAATGGACTTAGTTTTAATTGCTGAAAGACTTTAACAAATTACTTAGAAAAAACTTTTGTGACAGTATCCTAAAACTATGACATAATTTCCTTCAACGCTCCACGAGTGCAGCATCAATTCTGCTTTAAAGGAAGCCACCAATACTTTTTATGTGAACAAGCCTTTCCTTCCCCTGCCTGCCGATATAAGAAGTAGGATTAAAGAGAAAAACCGGATCCGTAAAAGATGGCAAACCACCAGGGATCCACAACTCAAACACGAACTAAACTGTATGCAAAAAGAAATCAACAGAAGAATCAAGAACTTCAAAAACCAAAAATGGACCAATTTCCTAAATAACCTAGCTATAGAGGACAATTCCCTATATGACATTTCCCGTATATTCAAGAAAACCTTATAAACCTTATTCCACCTATCCATGGACCTAGTGGAACTTCATATACAGAAGAAGATAAAGCTAAATTCTTTTGCGGACTATATGGAAGATACATTCACTCTTAATCCCACTCCGTAAGACAATAACCATATTGAACGGGTCAACCAGGTGGTCAATAACTTCCTTAATTCTGCTCCGTAACAACTTCACTTTCCTGACTACCCCAACCATCGTTGCAAACACCTATCAGCGCCTTACAAACGAAGAAAGCCCCAGGGCACGATGGCATCTCGACCAAAGCACTGAAGCATCTCCCCGATCAACGCTCTTACCTGCCTAAACTAAGATTTTAAATCAACAACATTATCAAATTTCGCTACTTTTCCTATCCTCATGGAAGCAAGCTATAATAATTGTTTTTGCTAAACCGCAACAAAATCCCACTTCTCCCACAGAACTATCGCCCTATCAAGTTTACTTAAGCCACCATGTCTAAAGTCAGTTACTGAGAAATTCTACTTTTACACATCCAAAAAATTCATCCTTCCATGAATTTTCTACTCAGAAGAACAATTCGATTTTCGCAATCATTCATAGCCACTTGCCACCAACTTCTATAGAGTTATGAACATTATCACTGAAGGCCTACAATCTGCAAGCCTTCCGAACGGTGCACTGGTGCTATATTTTCCTCGATATCGCGAAAGCCACCAATACCTCGCCGACAGGGTATGGCATCGACGGACTTATTTACAAACTAATCACTCTCAATTTTTCCAGATCATTTTATTCGCTTAATTGCCTCTTTTCTCAGCAACAGGATTGTTCAGAATCAAAATTCGGTACTACTTACTCTAACCATCAGAGTAATCAAATGCTGGTGTCCCACAAGGGTCGGCACTTTCGCCGTACCTTTTTAATATTTATACACAAGATATCCCTAAAGACCCTTCTAGTTCATCTTGCACTCCTTGCCGGATGACACCGCCATACTTATTAAAGCCTGGCACAGCAATCGCCGTAAGAAACCAACTCTAAAAGCTATCTCATAAAACTGGAAAAATGGCTTACCCTTTGGAGGATTAAAATTAACACTGATGAAACCTAAGGCAACTAATTTTCCGTAAAGGAAACATAAAATATACTATCCTTCCACCCCTGAAATATTTGACTAAGAAATAGACTGGATTAATGAAACCAAATACTTGGAGTCACCCTTGACCAAAAACTTACCTTCAGAACCCATTTCCGGTCCGTAGTACAAAAATTTAAAATCACCACAGCTACTATGTGACCTCTTTTTGGTAGAAAAAGCAACTTATCTACTACAAATAAATTAATTCTATATCGTTCCATACTGCGCCCAGCTCTTCTTTATGCAGCACCGATCTGGGGACATGCAGCTAAAACCAATATTAAACAATTACAAATTCTACAAAATAAAATTTTACGAGAAATTATCAATGCTCCTTGGTATATTCCCAACATCTATATCCACAGAGACCTTCGAATGGAACTTATTCAAGAGTATATTAAACGATTAGAGGTCAACTTCTTTTATTCAGTACAAACCCACAGTAATAGCCTTATTAGCACACTCAGACACTCCCCACGTCCCAGAGAAAAACATCGCTACCTTTCTGATATCCTCCCCACATAAGATTCACAACCTTAATTGACTCATTCACGCAAAACTGACTCTGCGGTTTTATCACCCGCGGCTTCATCTTATAACGACACTGAACTTGACACCCGCCTTTTCTCGCCGCCGCTAGTGCGGACCTCACTCTCTTTCATCCGCCTCCCTCACTCTTTTCACCCTTCTCCCTCTCTCCCCCTCCTGCTCTTTATCAGAAGTCGAGTAAAAAGATGTTTCTACATCTTGACACTCGAGAATAAAATACGATCTGTGTGTCCACGAGTGCCTTTTCCTACAGTGCGATATAAAATCTCAGAGAACTCCCTAAAGAATTACGTTTCTATCCAAGGAGGCTATTCTAACCTCCTTGTTTCTACCAGAAGAGCGCTATTTATGACGCTACGCACGGGGTCAATGACTGGGTCACCCACGTGACTGACCCCACCACTCACGCACCTCCGGGCAGCTTTCTGTTCCTTTCCCAGATGAACGTAATTTACGTTTCAGAGCTTCGCCGTAGTTCGGCGCGGCGATTATTTCGCCTTTTCTCTGTTACTCCAACGCCTTAGGGGAGAAATTTACAAAAGACGCAGTTAAAGTCGAAGCTCGACTAATGCTGTGATTACCATGAAAATATTTGATTTGAGGTGAGGTGGGAGTATTGTTAGAACCCAGCCTCGTTTGTCATTTTTCTTTTTATAGTTTGTCACTCTGAGAGTGGCATCCATCTGATTTTTGTTGTAGTTCTACGGATTTTGAAAATAAATATCCCGCTTTGGAATTTTATATGTAAAGTTATTTTGTTTTAGGTTTATTAGGAGAACGGGTATTTCTTGCAAATCCAAAACACTCGGTATCCATGTACAAGCTTTATAAGAGCTAAGATGAGAGAAATCATGTTAGTCCAAAAAAAAAAAAAAACTTATTTTTCCTGACAATCATGCCATGTGTATATCGCACCAGATGTTTCCTTCTATCCAAAACTTACTAGTGCTTTATATCATACGTGCATGCACTAACTACTTTGCTTAATCTAAACATTCTAGCAGTTTCAGTCCTGAAAGCGTAGCATCTCCCAGAATGCCGTGAATGTGAGTTTTTGGAATATATCTGAGTGCAATTTGTACTGGAAATTTTGATGAGGAAAATAAAATTTCTTAAATGAGCTCCTGCCTACTCACACAACAGAGAAACCGCACGCATGTGAGGTAGGTAAAAGTAATTTATCCAAAAGCCTCAATAAAACTTGCATTTCCTTCTTAATGCAGGATAAGATGTAATTATAATGTGAGGCATGTAACTAATCATTTGCAGATAACTGTACTTTCGAAGTCCATATGCTTATTCACACAAAAGAGAAACCTCGTGTATGCAGTGTGTAACAAATCATTTAGACTAAAGTGTTATTTAAACAATCATACACGTATTGACACAGGACAGAAACTTTGTGTATGATGTTATACAGCAAGTCATTTAGACTGTATGGTTCTTTAGACGAGCATCTGCATGTACATACAGGAGAAGAAATGTGTGTATATGGCATGTAAGTATTCATCTGAACGAAAGACCACCTTAGACATGAACATGTGTATACATGCAGGGAAGAAACCTTATGTGTGTGTGATATGTAATAAATCACTTGCTCAAAAATGTGATTTAAACAAGCATATGCTCCTTCACACAGGAGAGAGACCTCATGTATGTGAGGTATGTAACAAATCATTTGCTCAAAAACATACTTTAAACAACCACATCTTTCTTCACACAGGAGAAAAACCTCATGTGTGTGAGGTATGTAACAAGTCATTTGCTGGAAAAGGTGGTTTAAATAGGCATATACTTATTCACACAGGAAAGAAACCTCATTTCTGTGATGTATGCAATAAATCGTTTACTCAAAAAGGTAATTTAAACGAGCATATGCTTCTTCACACAGGAGAGAGACCTCATGTGTGTGAGGTATGTAACAAGTCATTTACTCTAAAAGGTAATTTAAACAATCATATGCTTCTTCACAGAGGAGAGAAAGCTCATATGTGTGAGGTATGTAACAAGTCATTTACTCAAAAAGCTCATTTAAATGACCATATACTTATTCACACACGAGAGAAAATTCATGTGTGTGAAGTATGTACTAAGTCATTTACACTAAAATCTAATTTAAAGAAGCATATACTTATTCATACGGGACACAAACCTTATGTGTGTGAGGTATGTAATAAGTCATTTACTCAAGCACGACCTTTAAACGAACATATACTTATTCACACGGGAAAGAAACCACATGTATGTGAGGTGTGTAACAAGTCATTTGCTAAAAAAGTTAATTTAAATAACCATATGCTTCTTCACACAGGAGAGAAAGCTCATGTGTGTGAGGTATGTAACAAGTCATTTGCTCAAAAGAGTGCATTAAAACAACATTTGCTTCTTCACACTGGAGAGAAACCTCATGTGTGTGAGGTATGTAACAAGTCATTTGCTCATAAGAAAACTTTAAACAACCATATGCTTCTTCACACAGGAGAGAAACCTCATATGTGTGAGGTATGTAACAAGTCATTTACTCAAAATTCTAGTTTAAAAAAGCATCTACTTATTCACATCAGAGAGAAACTCCATAAGCTAGATGTGTAACAGATGACTTGGGTTATAGAAAAATTGAGAATGAAAAAGTTAGATTAATAAGGGCATTTGCTTATGTGTGCAATACAGACCATGCTATAAGGAAATGTTTTTCTATGTGTGTTCAACTTTTCATTTCGTTTTAATTTTTAATAAACGATTTATTTGTTTCCATGAGAGAAAAAACCTGATGTTTGGGACATAAGCCACAAGTCACTATAAAGTGCTTCTAAGTTAAAGCAACATTTACTTATCCGTAGTATTTAATGAGTAGTGAAAATTTTAAGCACCATATTCGAAGAATGAGAAATTAGACATTGATTATACTGTTCTGAATAAAAAAATTTAATTTTATTGATATCACATTTCTTTCATTCAGATAATGTTATGAATTGTTTGAAATCTTGAACATTTTCATTTGAATGAAAATTTCATTCAGATTTTGCACTGTAACCTACTTTTCATTACGTTTTTCTAAAAAAATAGAAATTTTTTTTTTTTTTTTTTGTGGTATCTTTAGTGCTTTAAGTATTTCTCTCTTCCTCATTAGTTTTTTTAATGTTGAGAATGCATATAATTTAGATTTTTGCAAGCTTATGTTTTCAGTATCGAATGTTTAAAACATTAATTTTTAAATGTTTTCTTGAAGCCGCTATGCAGCTTGTATTGTCTTTGAAAGAAATTGAAATTTCTTGAGGAATTTTTTTTTTGTTTGTTTTTTGTGGTATTTACATGCTAATGCAGCCTTCTTAATACAAGTTGAAATATTTTAAGTATATCCCAAACTCTGACAATATTTTGCATAGAAATTCTTCCAGCAATCATGCTTATAAAAGTCCTTCAATCAAGCCATTTTGTGTGCATTCGTTTTTGTTGTATTCCAAAGTCCAACGTTTTTTTTAAACGAATCATAATAATTTTTGCGTTAGTTTTAAAATATGTCCTTGCAGTATTTGTCAGCAATTTTTCCATAATTCTGTGATAAAATTTCTGCAAGAGCACAGAATTTTGATGAAAATTTTGTTAATGGAACAATGAGGAAATGTTTTTTCTCATTAGCTGAGTTCTGCATTAACCCAATTCTCCCATTTCTTTTGGCAAAAACAGATAGCTGTGTATCTGGGGAGCAGAAAAGTGTAAAGTTATAACAAAAAGATTTGAAAAAGAATGTTTTTTTTTTTTTTTTTTTTTTTTTTTTTTTAATTTGTAACATATTCCTTATTTTGTAATTCAAATTTCTATTCTCAAGTATATTTTCTTTCAATATGTTGATAATTTTTGCCAATTTATAATAAATATTGACAGTTTGGGAATCTTTCTGAAATAAAGGCATGAAAACCACCACCCCGTTAAAACATTTATTAACATTTTACTTTCAAGTTACTTCAAAACATCTTTCAAAATATAACTTACCAGTATGGATTCACTCTTTTAAAATAATTCTACTTGAATTAAACTTAGGAGATAATATAATCAGTTAATCAATATTGCTTAGGAAATAAATTATTATTAACTTATTTTGCAGCAATTGCGCAAGTAGTAGTAACTTGTTTGCACACTAAATGAATTTAAGATCATACAACATTATATATATATACAGTGCAAAGTCTTTATTCCAGACCTCAAAGCTACAAAATTTCTGCGCACGCGTAGCGTTTACGCATTCGCATAATACCTTTATGCATGTGCATTTAATGTGTAACAGACGGTATAAGCTAGGCTAAAATTATCTCTTTCAGTTAATGTTGTAGATTGCGTTGTTCCTTATCTTCTAATTGGATCCGGCTTATTATTTTTTGCAGACTGTTAAAGCAATTTTATAAAAGTAAGCTTGAACTTTTTATGTCAAATAGAATTTCGGATATATATTTACTAATATGAAAAGGATCTACAAAGCGAAAGTATGTTTCGAAGTCCATTAAACAAAAAATGGAATTGCTGCAAGAAATGGATAAAGGGATATCCTTTGTTTGTCTGACCGTTCCGAAACCTGTTTATCAATTAGATGCTGCTTTGCGGCAGGGGGGGATGGGGGAAATGCCGCTGCCTGCTGTGAATTCGAAGTTGATCTGTCAGCACTATCCTTATTTTCAGGGCAGATGTTTTTATTTTATTTGGCTTATAATTCCTTACTAAATGTAGTATTTCATCTCAATGTACTCCGTCTTTGATATGATTTAAATCGAATTCATCGTCATTATAATTCACTTCCGATAGCGAAGAAAGTAACAGAGGTTATTGAAAACGAAAAAATTTCGATTGACAAATTAGTCGGTATTCTCGACACAGCAATTAATTATAGGACTTGAACAGCAGAACTTTGTAAATGAACAAGAAATTATGTCTGTTTATAGAATTAAAGAGAATGTATTATCACATAAAAAACGAAACAACTTACATTGAAAGAAATGTTTAATAAAGTAAACAAATAAATATTCAGCTTTTTTTTTTTTTTTTTTTTTTGTAAATTTTGATACCCTTTAGATCATAATTGCTCTTTATTTCATAAATTAGGGTTTCGTATTTTTAATTTTATAATTTCTGCATGTCATCTTACCAGATTTAAATTGATGATCTATAATCTGGAATCTGGAATCGCCGAAATCCCGACAAGTCCGGATTAAAAACTTTGTACTGTATATTTATATACTTTTTTCTTGCTCATGGGTCCATGCAAATGTTTCAGATACATTTATACTTATATGTCCATGTCTATTGTCTATTATTAAGTATTCAGTTTTGACATTTGGTTCCTGTGGAGTATGCCGACTCTCATTTTTACCACCTTCAAATTCTTCTTCTTCTGAAATTCTGAAGAATGGTTAAATATTTCATCACCATATGCATGCTTTAGCTTGCAAGTGTATTTTATTAAACTTTGCTGCTTTTATGTTAATACAAAATGGAAATATAGTTGTGTCCATGCCTAGCGGTATGTAAAAGTACATGGGTGGTGAAAATCAGGGGTGGCAGGACTCTGACGATAGCATGGCTAAATATTTTTAATTCATTCTAAGGACTTTTCATATGTAAGTACGTTTTATGCAATTTCTCATATGTAAATACTTGGTGATGATGAAATAGATATTTTATTAATCATTGAGCTTTATTTCTTTAAATTTGGACCTAACGAGTCGTGGATATGAAATCCTGTACTGCTGGGTTCCCGGTCATGTGGGAATTAAAGGGAATGAGCTGGCAGATATCACAGTGAAATGTGCTGTTGAACTGTCCAATTGCCTCATCCCTTTTAGAGACATCTGTTGTGTTATCAAAGAGAAGATCCGAAAAAAATAGCAGCAACTTTGGGACGTTCAGCTTCATAACAAGTTGGAAATGTAAAGCCTAGAATTGAACATTAGGGTTTTACAGAAATCGTAACGAGGAAGTTCTTTTAACTCGCCTCAGAATTGGTCACACAAGAGTGACACATAACTATCTTTTGAAAGCTGAGAATGAGACTGTTTGTTCAAATTGTAAGGTTTATCTATCAGTCATATTTTAATTGAGTGTCATATTTTAATTGAGCTTGTCCATATTTTAATAGCTGTGACTTACTCTCGACCGTTTAATCGGAAGAGGTGAATTGTAATTTATTTATTATTTAAAAGAGACTGGCTTTTATACCTAATGTAATTTGTGTTGAATTGTGTCTTGGAATTTAAATGTGTGGTTTTAACTTGTTTTATATGACTTCATCCTCTGGATTGATACATTTGTCTACTTGTTTTTATTTATTGTATTTTAATTTCATCAATTGTACTTACCCCATCTCGCGTTTGGCGCACTATAATCAACTTTGGTTTTGCGCCATAATCTCTCACTCACTCACTCTTTAAATTTGGGTGTGGCAATCTTAAGAAAGTATGTGGGCAGTCAATGGTCTCGGAACAGACCTGGTTCTGTGATTAGGCATAAAAATATGTTTTTCAACTCCAATAAGCTTTCAATCATTTTTTTCATATATCAGTGCTGTAGAAAAATGTCAGGTGCATAAATATATAAAAAAGGCATTTTGAAAATATCTTTTCCATAAATGTAAGAAACAGGTGTTTATTAAAGTGTCTTTAAGAAACATTTTGTTTTTAAATTTCCAGAAGAAAACGTAATTTTAAATTTTCAAGGACACACAATTTCTATATGCATTAAAACTGCGTGTACCGAAGTAGTCTCATATTTATCTTATATTTCCTGCTTTGTTTTGAAAGTATTTGCACAGATCAACATTAAGAGTAATGGGAGCCTAAATTTATTTTGAAATTCACTGAGGGAACATGGTGAAATATTTCTTTTATAATTCAACTTAAGAATAAGAAAGAATCTGAAAAATGTACTTTATTTTTTCTATTGTTATTTTTAACTCAAGAGATATTCTGTGTAAAAATTATATTCAATTGATGTTCATAAACAGAACTCGTCTAACAGAAATAAGAATTCTAATCTGGCAAAATTATGTTCTTAACAAAATGTAATTTTGGCAGTTTATTTTAATTTTTTGTCATGGGATTGTTTGAAGTAACATTGCATCTTTTTTAATCTGTTTTATTTAACAAAAACGTATTGAATTTAAGGAGATATTTAAATATAAGAATTCTAAAATTCGTATTGTAAAAGTTTGCAATTGCATGTTTTTAATATCTTTTCCATATTTGAAAAGATTTTTTTTGCTTTCAATCTAATATTAACTAATAGTGGTATAAAAAGTGTGGTATGGAATGAGTGTTGCCAGTGCCACTTGATACAAAATTCTGGTAACTTAACATTCCTTGAAATAGCTTTATATTTATTAATTTATTTATAATACTTAGTACATCAAGCATAAGTGTAAAAGTACAGAATTTTGCAAATACTCTCTAAAGTGAACAATGTCCTCATTGTTTGTCATGAGTTTGATAGATAGCCAGTGTTGTACTATGCTGAGTGTATGATGCCTTTCTAATGCAAAACAGATTGCTGTATGCTTAGGAAGAAGAATAGCAGAAAGAAATTTTAGAAGGATTTGGAGACTAATGTAAATGTTTCATTCTCTTGATGTATCACGTCATGCATATTTAATAATTAAAATTTATAAATTCATTTGCTGTAGTATATTCTTTTTTTTTTTTTTTTTCGCGAACTTACGAGAAATATTGTTAGTTTCACATCTTTTAAAAAAATGTATGAAAACTGCCACCGTCCAGCCTATTAGTGACTTTTATCTTTTCAGCTATTAAAAAAAAAATTGCACGAAAATGGTTTTGTTAATATGGAAGTAGCAAAATTTGTTCAAATATCTTGTCTTTTGTATTTCATAAATAATCGAAGAATTTAATACGTCATTCACTGCAAATAATATGTTTTGCTATGCAATAAGC